GAAGCTTGCCTAAGAGTTGGGAAGCCAAGAAGACGGCAATTGAAGAATCTAAGGATCTCAACACTCTCAAGCTTGAAGATCTCATTGGTAAATTGACGACATATGAGATAGAAGTGCAAGGTGATAGTGGAGTTGAAATAGTTGAGAAGAAGAAGAAGGATGTTGCGTTCAAGGCTAGCAACCAAAAGGAAAACAGTGAAGATGATGCTAGTGATAGTGAAAACATCTCCACCTTGATCTCTAGAGAAGTGAGGAGATTCATGAAGAAGAACATCAAGAGCAAGCTTGCAAAAAGAGATGAAGGAGAATCTACCAAAAGGAGTGTAAAATGCTATGAGTGCAACAAGATGGGGCACTATAGAAATGAATGTCCCAATTTGAAGAAAGGCAAGAAGAGCATGAAGAAGAGAGCTTTTGCTGCCACTTGGAGTGATGATGAGACTAGCTCAACGGAAAGTGAAAGCTCCTTGGAGAAAGGTGTTACAAATCTTTGCTTCATGGCTCAAAAGGATAGCAACCATGATGAGGAGGTAAACTCTAACTTCTCTAGTTCAATTAATGAAAGTTCATTTGAGTATTCTTATGATGATTTATGCAAAGTTCTTGATTGCTCCATGAATGACATTAAGAAACTAGGAAAGGAGAATATAGCTCTTACTAAAACCATTTCATTGCTTAGGAATGAAATTGAATCTCTCTCAAAACGAAATGAGGTTTTAGTTAAAGAGAATGCCTCTTTAAATGATGAGATTGCTTCTTTAAATGATGAGATTGCTTCTTTAAAGAATGAGGAATCTAATAATGCTTTGAAAAAGGAAAATGAAGATTTAAAGAAGGAAAATGAGGTTTTAAAGAGAAAAACTTTTGATCTTGAAAATGTGATTTCCAAATTTACTTTGAGTAAAGAAAAATTTGATTCTATTTTAAAATCTCAAAGAAATATTTATGACAAAGGGGGCATTGGATTTGATTATTCTAAAAAGCAAAAGACTTTTAAGACTACCTTTGTAAGAGAAAGTCAATCCTATCATCCTAATGTTAATTGCTATTGTTGTGGTGCAAATGGACACTTTGCTTATGTATGTCCTTTGAAGAGATTGATAGATCAAGGTAAAGTGAAGCAAATTTGGGTTCCAAAAGGAACTTTAAGCACTAACCACTATGGACCCAAGCAAATTTGGGTACCAAAAATCAAAACTTAATTTTGTTTTGTAGGAAAAGTTGATGGCAAAGTCACTAAGGAAAGCAAAGTAGATCTTAAAAGGAC